CCCACACACACACACACGTACCGGGGTCCCCTGTGACCTCAGGATCCACTTGGCCCTCCTGCCTCACTACTTCCCACTCTCCTCAGCGCTCTCAGGGTGACTGTCAGATTCTCAGGCAAGCCTTGCCTGCCTCCAACCTCTGCACTTTAGGAGTCCCTGCTGTATTCCTAGAACATGCTGTGCTGAATCAACTTCGACGTTTGTAAGCTCCAAAAAGGCAAGTACATTTTGCTTAATATTGTGTATCCACCCCAGTCCCCTGGACACTCAAAATCAAACAAATGGATGGGTCACAAAAGTACACAGAGCTTCTTCTGCCCATCCCAACCCCTCTTTACATCAGCAGAGGCAACACCAGGAATACCTCTCCCAAAGGTCACTCCCTGCTGACAGCCTTCACTGTCCCTCTGTGGTCAGTTTTAATAAAAATAAGCCCCTCCGAAGCCCTCCATGACTAGGCCCTCTCCAGTGTTCTCCCCACTGGAGCACCCTCCCACTCTGAACTCTAGGGCAGGGACCCCTTCTAGCTTTTCAGCAGAGGGTGCTCTGAGATGGTCCTAGGTCACCGAAGATTGTCCCTTCAGAGCAGGCCTTGAGTGTTGGAGTCTCATTACTGCAAACTCATGACATGTGCCTCAGTGCTGAACATCAGCTTCAATAAATACAGAAACAGCCATTTCCTGCCAACACAGGGTTCAAGGTAAAGGCTGGTGGAGGTCAGGGTTTGTACAATCACTGAAGGTGAAATGCGTGTCTGGCTCTGAACGTTTATTGTCTAAAGGAGAGCAGACACCGTGGTCAACTGAAAGGTCCTCATGTCCACAAGACCCAAATGAATTGGCTCTTTATGAGAAGCCATATTTTCCTGATACTTGGAAAAGCTGCCCTCGTAAAAGGACACAAGACTGGTGTCGATTTTCAAGGAGCCTCTTGCCCCTTAGTGAAAGAGAGTCCCTAAGGTGAAGTCCATGGCATGCTCAAGGTGAAAGCAAGAGAAACTGGTAGCCGCTTCCTCTAACAGCGTCCCTTTGCTGGTGACCGCGGTCAAGAAGCACCGACATGCACATCACCCAGCTGCAGCCAAGAACCACGTGCCTAATACGCTCAGTTAAAAGCTGGAATCAAGCAAGGCGCTGCAGTCTTTGACCTTCCAAGTTAAAACAGCCCATGAAATAGCCCTCTGCAGTCGCCAAAATCAATTAGCATCTCACTTCCTCAAACAAGCGAAAAAATTAATAAGGGCTCACTGGTCACAAATACTATGTAAGAGAGACCAAACAAGGTCCCCCGAGCAAGTGTTTTAATAGAGATCGAACACCAGTGGGTTACGTGCTAAAAAAAACTAAAATTTAAAAAAAAATTAGAAAATAAAAGGATGACCAGATAACACACAGGTCAAGGCAGCAGCAAGTTTTTGTTTTTAAAGCAATGGAGGCGATGAGGAGGCAGCAGAGGGAAATCCAGCTGTTTCAGCGCCGTGTTCACAGCCTACCTTTTCAGACCCAACAACACACTCACAGGACGGTATGAGAGGAAAAAAGGAAAAGGAAAGAAAGGAACAAATAAAAATTAGAAACACGCGAACAAAAATAAGTTTGACAGCTACAGCTCTCCATGTACGAAAATTGACAGCGGGCTCTGAGGAGGCTGGGGATATCTGTGACATCTAAGTGAGACTCACCCACTCCTGGGCTCCTGGGAAGCCTGGGCCTGAAGTTAGCGGGATCTGCCGGGGAGCCTATTAGGGGATCAGTGCGCCAAACCAAAACGGGGCCTACTTCTAGACATTTCCCTTTGAGCTGCAAAATCCTGTCTCATTCCAGGAGGATACTGCTACTAGGAACTGCAGGTGAGACATGGGCTCTGCTCCTGCCCCAAATCATTGTGGTAAAGACGAGAGAACTAGGGAACAGTGAATGCCACAGAGCATTAACAGTGATCACAGGAGAATGGGTCTGATTTGGGGTCACTGGTATCTCACTGGAGTTCAAATGAAGGCTGAGTGTTTGGAGTGCAGTTGGAACAGAACAGGCCACCGGGAGAGCGGTTCAACGCACTGCTGTGTTCCCCATGCCGAGGGCGGTGCCTGGCACAGGGAGGCTCTCCATAAATACGTGTTTATATTACCAGCCACCACACGCCAGCAGGTCTCCTTACTCCCACCGAATTGTGAGCATAGTTTCAAAGGCAAAATAGAGCTGGCATTCTCTGGTGGGTCTGCAGTCTCAAAGCCAAGAAGTCGATGAGCAACAAAATGTCCCCGGTGCCTCGTGCAGCAAAGGAGGTGGCACTGGTCTAGGGGTCAGGGCAGGATCTCCTAACCCCCCAGTTGCTTTGAGGCTTCAGGCACTCACCCAGTGGTCTGTACAGTGGGAAGACACCAGGCCCTGCCACCCGCAGGCTGTGGTGACATGGGGAGTACAGGGAGCTGTGTTCACTGTGCCACTCTGTAAGGGATGACCCGCCTAACAGCCCAGGGGGCTCAGCAGCTCTGCCCTCGGCAGCTGCCCAGACTCCTAAACTTTGCTACCTCAGCTCCAAGGAGTGGGAGGGCAGCACTGGCATGTGATCACAGGGCTACTGCGATAAAGTACAGGTCATGTGTATGACATGCCTTGTCCTTCCCTCAGACCACATAAACGTGCCCAGGGGAAAAGATAAAAATTACTCCAGATCCCGCAAGGCACCACACACAGATGTGACTTGGGCTACTCTGGGATTCTCACTCACAGGGCTGGCCTGGGCCAACTTTTTCTCAATTCTGTGACATTTTCTCCACCAACTTACCAACCAGAAAGGCAGTGTTTGACCTTAGGTCAATTCAAGAAACACACTGAGCACCAACTGTTTGCAGGCCTCAGCCAGCGTGCACGTATGTCATTTACTCCTCACCTGTGAGACCATCATCCAAAATCTAGACAGGGGGGAGGAAAGACACAGAGTGCCCAAGGCAAGGAGCCCAAGTGACACAGCGACCCTGCTCTCCCTAGCAAAGGGGGCCACCTCTTGGCAAGCAGTTACAGCCTTGGCTTGCATCTCATCCTCTGCTGCTGGACAGATGCCGCCATGGCAACAGGGGAGACAGGACAGAGGGAAAGAGGGGAGGTAAAGAGCCCAGAAGAGCTCATCTGCAATTCTGGTGCAAAGTGAAGCTGCCAACTTAACCGCAGGGACAATGTGAGAACTGACCTTCTGCTCCAGCCAACACTCCCTGTTACATACTTCCATCTGTGTGAGGAGCCCTCTAGGAAGTCCCTGGGGGTGTTCCTGAGATCCTGAGTCTGACACTGTGGCTACCAGCTGGGAGGACAGGCCTGACTCACGCACTATGCCCAAACAGGGAGGCAGAGGACATGGGTCCACTTCCAGCTCAGCTGGCACCTAGTTCTGCCACCTCTGCAGACTCGGCCTCTCATCTATAATCCACAGGATGACCCTGAATAATTTCCAACTGTGCCCTGGGGCAGCGCTGTCCAACAGGAATACAATGTGAGCCACATGAGTAAATTTAAGTTTTCTAGTTGCCACATTTAAAAAAGTAAAAAACAAACACTTGAAACTGATTTTAATAATTTATTTTATTTAACCTAATATATGTAAAATATTATCATTTTGACATGTAATCAATATAAAAGTATTAATGAGACATTTTACATTATTTTTTCTGTTCTAAGTCTCCAAATCTGATGTGCATTTTACTTACAGCACATCTCAGCTCAGACTAACCTCCTCCCTGGTGCTCAAGAGCCACAGGGTCTGTGGCCACCGTATTGGACAGCAGCTCTAGGGGTCCCACTAGGGGTCCCACTTAAAAGGGGCAGTCAGTGTACACACTAACCCTAGAAGGATTCCCCTTAAGCAAAGGCTGTCCTGATTTTAAAAGTCTGAACATGAACAGACTATACCTTTCTACCCTTTGCTGTAATAAAGTTCCACCCTTACCCCTTCTTGGCTTCAGGAAGCAACCCAAGCATGAAGCAGGATCCCAGGCCTCCAGGTAAACTTACCTACTATCTGTGTCCAGTCCTACAAAGTCCTTTTTCTCAAATGGGACACAGAGCAGGGGGATCTTATCCCCGGACTTGTCGGTGGCCCTGTCCAGACGCTTAGACTCGAGCACAATGAAGAGCGACTCGATGAAATCCTCAACCCTCTTCTCCACCGTCTGGCAGTCCTCGTAGTTGGGGTAGAAGGCCACATCGGTGCGCGGCTGCTCGGCGATCTCCCCTTGCAGCCCAAAGACAAAGAGCCTGGAGTCGTAGAGTGTGGAGCCGTAGATCTCCTTCTGCATGTGGAACTTCTCAAAGGTCTGTGGCCAGTCCTTGGCCGAGCAGCAGTCTGTGATGGTGACGAGGCCCACGACTTTGCGGTGGGTCTGGAAGTCGCCCCACTCATTATTCTCAGGTGGGTAGTGGTGCCGGTAGCGGATGTACAGCACTCGCTGGGAGTCCCGCACACTAATCTGGCTCACAGAGGAAATCCTCTTGTAGATCTGGAAGAAGTTCTCTTCTGAGACAACCCCCACGGGCTGGACCACCACAAGGAGCATCTGGTGGTCCTCAGCACACTGCATGTAGTCAGGGACGCTCATTGTGAAGTCCCTGCCCAAAGAGAAAAAAGACAACTTTGAGGCACACGCAGTTGTGAAGGCTGCTTTGGGATGGGGGACTCTGACGCTGGCCACCTGGACGGCACGGTAAGCCCCACACAAAACTGTGGAATACAGTTTGTCTCCAGAGTTCTGCAGATGGTGACCACAGCTCTTATCACAATATCACCACTCTTGGACTGGGCTCCGAGCTCCTGCAGAAAAGGGGCTGTCTCTCAGTTTCTGCTACCAACACCTAGCAAGGGACTGGTGCAGAGACAGTGCTCAGAAATGTTTGCTGAATGAAGGAACAAATGAATAAACTACCTCCCATTCCCCTAGGCAGAATATAGTGAAAAGAACCACAGTGGAATCAGAAGATCTTGACTTGAACTCCAGTCTGCCTAAGTGTCTAAGTTGCAAAATAATGGAGATAAGAAAACTTGCCTTATAAGACTCTATCTGGATTAAGGGAGGCTGCAAATGTGAAATACCCAGCATACTGCCTGACATAAAAAGAGAGGTCCTACACATTTACTATCCCTCCTTTATAAACAGCGGTACCCTGGGAGAGCTTCTATAACCTCTTTGAGCCAATGTTGTTGGATATAAAAAGGAAACAAGAGTACCTGATTATCAGTACTGTTGAAGAATTAAATTAGATAACCCATATGAAAGTATCTGGGGCTCCATAAATGTTTGTTGAATGAATGACCAACTGAATTGAATACTGTCCCCTCCTGCAGACCATCATAATGGAGATGGCAATGCCAGGAAGTCTGAAGACCATGTTCAACCCTTGACTCTACACTAACCACGTGGGTGACCTGAGGCAGGCTTATACACATCTCTAAACCCCAGCTTAATCATGAATAAAATGAGGATATTCACACAAACCTCCAAGGGTTAGTGAGTCAATACTCTGGTTTTGATACTGTACCACAGTGTGGCACACTGACACCATCCAGGGGAACTGGGTGCAGAGTCCGTAGGCTCTCTCAATGTTATTTCTTACAAATGCATAGAAATCTATATTATGTCTCCAAATTAAAAGTCTAATTTTTAAAAAAACTTTAATGTTTTTTTTAATTGATTTCAGAGAGAAGAAGGGAGAGGGAGAGACAGAAACACATCAATGATGAGAGAAAATCATTGATCGGCTGCCTCTTGCACGCCCCCTACTGAGGATCTAGCCCACAACCCAGGCATGTGCCCTGACTGGGAATCGAACTGTGACCTCCCGGATCATGGGTTGACTGAGCCACTCCAGCTGGGCAAAAGTCTAATTTTTAAAAAAGGTATTGAGATAGGATCACTATATCAAATAAAAAAGATACCATACAAACAGAAAAACACCTAGCCCATGACATACACTCTATAAGCATTCCGTTGAACCCAGCGGCTTGCTCCTCCTCTCTGCAATACTCTACCATAACATTTCAAGTTGTTCAATGTTTGCACCCAAAATTAAGGTGGGCTACATCAAGGCATAAACGGTTATAGAAACTGAAATTTTTGAACCCTCCTTTACTGTTTTTTCCCCAATTCAAGTGTGTGCTCAGTGGGAGCTGTGCCAGGCACTACACTAGGCACGGAGCTCTCTCATAGTCAGACCTTTATTCACATGTGCACAAATCACACACAGGCCTGCCAGGGCAAAGATGCCTACAGATAAGATTGAGTTAACAAAATTTAAAGTGGCCAACCAGCATACATTATTAGCAAAAAGGCTGCTGCTATCCCATTAGCAATGGGTGGCAGAGAACTCAGGCTGCAGGCACCAAGTCCATCAAATAGGCTCTAGCACTGGCTGTCACTCTTTGTGACCATAAGTGAGTCATGTAGCTTCACAGAGGTTTCATGGTATGTTTTTTTTATTGAATTTATTGGGAGGGACACTGGTTAACAAAATCATATGTTTAAGGTGCACAATTCTACAACACATCATCTGTACATTGTACTGTGTGTTCACCACCCCAAGTCAACTCTGTCTAGTTTTCTCTTTGGTGAAAGACTGCAGTAGAAACTACTGATGTATCAAGTCTCCTCAATCACATACCCAACATTTAGTGAGGACATCTATTGTGCCAGGCTCTATATAAATGGAAAGATAGGGTCCCAGGTATATTTGTGGGCAGAAAAAGTTAATATAGTAAAGATGCTAATTCTCCCCAATTTGATATACAGGTGCAATGCTATTCTGATTAGAATTCCTGCCAGATTTTTCATGGAACGCAACAAGTTAATTTGTGGTCAAGAATAGCCAAGAAAGGACTGAAGAACCGCCATGGAGGAGGGGCATTTGTCCCAGCAGATAGCAAGACCAGATTTAACTGCTAATGGTGTACAGGGTTTCTTTTTGGGGTGATGGAATATTCTAAAATTGATTGTGGTGATGGCTGCACAGCTCTGTGAATACACTAAAAACCACTAAATTGTATATTTAAATGGTTTCTTCAAGGGAAAATGTGATGAAATAAGACCTGGCACTGAGCCAGCTCTGGTACCTGCAACTCATCTAATACAAATATCAAAACATCAAAAATTTACCTCTTGCCCTGGCTGGTTTTGCTCAATGGTTAGAGCATGGGACCGTGGACTGAAGGGTTCTGGGTTCGATTCAGGCCAAAGGCACATACCTTGGTTGCAGGCTCAATCCTGGCCCTGGTAGGGGTGCATGCAGGAGGCAACCCATTGATGAGTCTCTTTCACATCAATGTTTCTCTCTGTCTCTCCCCTCCCTTCTATTCTCTAAAAAAAATCAATGGAAAAGATATCCTCAGGTCAGGATTAACAAAATATATTTCTTCACCTTGGTAGTTCCAATAGTTACCATATAAACAGCAATTCTACTCCTACATACATACCAGAGACTTGAAAACCTATACCCACACAAAGACTTGTCCATGAATGTTCATAGCAGTATTATTCCTAATAGCCAAACACTGGAAATGGCAAGAAAGTCCATCAGCGGATGACAGATAAAGAAAACATGGTCTGTCCTCACAGTAGAGTATTGCTCAGCAATCAAAGGAACAAAGTATAGATACGGCTGTGACATTGTGAGGGTGAAAATATCATGAAAGAAACCAGTCACAAAGGGCACATATTCTATGGTTCCATTTATGTGAAATGCCCAAAATACGCAGGTCCATAGAGACGGAAGATAAATTCGTGGCTGTCAGGGCGACAGCAGAGAATGAGTGACAGTCAGTGGGCACAGAATTTCCTTCTGAAATGATGATAATGTTCTGGAATAGTGATGGTTGCACAATTGTGAATACACTCAAAATTATACACTTTAAATGGGTGGGTTTGATGGCATGAGAACAGTATCTCCATAAAGCTGTTATTTGAAAAATATCTTTCTTGGCAACTTTCTTTCCCTCTATGCTCTGAGTCGGCCACGCAATTTAAGAAAAACAAACAAAACAAGCAAACCTAGCCGGGAGCTCCTTAGGCTGCAGAGCCCTGGCGGCCGACGCCGCGCTCGCAGGCCCTTTCCCGGGCACCAGGGCCACCAGCGGGCCTGACCCGGAGGCGGCTGGAGCCGGCCCGCCTGACCCCGAGGCCC